ATATATATATATATATATATATATATATATATATATATATGTTTTGCCCAGAGATTTTGCTAGACCATGAGAAAGTAAGTGAACGTGTGCTTGTTTTGGGAGGCTGTTGAGAGGGTAGGATTGTTCATGTAAGGCATTTGAAAAACTTTATAAATGATTCTGATACAATCTTGATAAGAACAGTTACCCTGGAAGATGGCAGGTAAGTGTTGCATAAAGTAGACAGCTAGGAAGTCAGACTTTGGAGCATCCAGGTATCCCAAATGAAAAGGAAAACAAGATTTTGAGAACAATATTAAATGATTCTAATTTGAAGCTTAGCAGACTGGGGTAGAAGTGCTGCAGTTAACTGAGATAGAAAGTAGTGGAAGAATTTGCAAGTTTGGATGGGGAGGATGATGAACAGTGAATAAGATCACGAATAAGGTTTGAGGAGGTGAAGAAAATTAGAGTTTGCGCTCTTTCCAGAGGTTTGTTGAAGGTAAGGAAGACAATAGTGTGGGAATTTGAGAGAACCGAGTTAACAGGTTTAGGTTAGGAAGGGAACTTGAATGTGTTTATACATAGAAGGGGAAGAGAGACTAAAGAGGGTGAATTGAAAGCAAGAGTGAGCTGAGCTTTCAGAGGACATGATAGGGATGCCTTCAGGAAGAGAGGAAGTAGAGTACCTTGGAGAGGAGGCTCATCAGTTTCCATGAGACAGGACAGAAAGTGGGCAAGTTTAATCTTTCTGTGTCTTAGTTTTTTTCATCTGTGGAAGAGTTAATAATAGTGTCTACCTTATACAGTGGTCATGAAAATTGAATGGATTGTGCCTGTAACTGTTTGCTATTGTTATTTTGAAGCTGCAAACTTATTTAAAGTTCTGTAGTGTTACTTCTGATTGTAGAGTACATTTTACTTGAGTTATGTTATTGCATATGAAACACATAAGATACCTGCTTTTTTGTTGCAGGCAATAAATGCCTACAGGCTAAATATTTTCCTCCATTGAAATGTTTTTATTTTATTTTATTTTATTTTTTGCCATCTTTATTCAAATATTTCACGGCAGTTATATTAACAATTACAGTAAATGTTCAAAATTCCAGAATCCAAAAATGAAATAATTTACTTCAAACTAATGTAAAATGAAGTCAAATGCAAAATGTCAATTTAATACAATTCTGAATTAAACTATAAACTCAAAATAGACTGTAGTTGATGAAGTCTATTTAACCTACAAAGTTGATTAGGAGGTCTCCCAAAGTCTAAATAACTGAATGTACAAAATACTAAAGATGCAGGTATAAGCCCAAATTCAAGCTTACAATGTGATTACAAGTAATTATTATAATAACAATGGCATTCAGCTATGGAACCTGACACTGAAGATACCTACTGAATAGCACCATAGCTGAACCAGCTTAATCAAAAAATGGGAAGATATTATTACCCCACTCCCTAAAAATAAAATCTAGGAAACCTACAAATACATTGGCATATGAGAGAAATCAAGTCATGAAAGGACATTAAACAAAACTAAATCACAGGTGAGATTCAAGCTGAAAAACACAACTCTACAGCCATTAGTTTCAACCCTAGTGCAGTTCCATCATCTTCAGAAAGTTCCCATGGTCCCCATGGCTGAGCATTAACTATTGTTGGGCTGTGCTGTGATGAAATGTTTTTGTTTTCCTTCTCTATCCATTTGGTTGAAAAGAGCCTGGTCTTTGCTCCCCAAATAGTCCTGAATTCAAATCTGAAACTCTTCTAGTTGTGTAATATTGGGTTGATCTCTGCTTGTTTTCTTATCCTCCGTGGAAAAGGGTAAATAATTCTTACTTTACCAGGTTACTATTCATGCTAAGGGAAATCATGTAAGAACAGTCAGTATAGTGTTGACTCTTACAGGGCTTTGTGGCAAACCCTGGCTTAATATCTTGCTGTACAACTTACTAGTTGTGTAACCTTTAGCAGGTTAAAAACCTTTCTGAGTGTCAGTTTTCATTTATAAAGCAGGGATTAAAAAATATTCTTCATTATTATTCTGTGAAGAAATAGTATATGTGAAGAGTTTAGCACAGAGTCTAGCACGTAGTAAGTTCTTAGGAAAAAGTTGCTCTTCCTGCTAGGAGTGTAGGAAATATAGGATTAGTTCAATAATTTTTTCTTTGCAAATCTTTAGACTTTCTGATTTTCTGTTGTATACTTTTACTCTGTTACTTCGTGACCAAGATTCAAGAAAACTTCAGTAAAATAACATTATTTTCATGTGTCTAGAGAGGAATTTTGTACACTTAAAAATCAAACAAAACTGGTTAGGAATTAAGTCAGAAAATTAAGTATAGACATACATATGTATATCTTATAACCCCTTTTATACGATTCCATGTACCTCTCCTTTATAACATTTAATACAATTGTAATTTTATACTTTTTTAGCTAATGATTTTATTAACTGCTGTCTGTTTCACCAGATCTTAATTTCATAATGTCAGGGGCTATATATATATTTTTTACCATTAGATGCCTGGCACATAGCAGGTACTTGAAATATAGTTGCTCAAAGGGATGGATGAATACAAGTTAAGAAATATAGACATTCATGTGGGGCGCCTGGGTGACTTAGTCCGTTAAGCCTCTGGCTCTTGATTTTAGTTCAGGTCATGATCTTACATTCATGAGACAGCCCCATGAGATGAGCCCCGTGTCGGGCTCTTTGCTGAAAGCACGGAGGCTGCTTGGGATTCTTTCTCCCTCTCTCTCTGCCCCTCCCCTGTTGGCACTCTGTGCTCTCTCGCTCTAAATAAATAAGATAAAACTTAAAAGAAGTACAGACATTGATGTTACATAGTAACTTTTTGACTCTTAATTAGAAATAAACTATTTCTGAGCTAGTATCCCTGTTTGCTCATATAGCACCTTATACTTTGTTCTCTTATGCTTGTTATTTCCTTGCATTGTTATTGTTTACCTGAGGGTCTCTCTAACTAGACCTTTTGCATTCTAAGGAAAGAGACTTTATGTTCTTTATTTTTGTGTTCATAATACCTAGCACAGCATTTTGCATATGGTAAGTAGTTGATACATCTTTGTAGGAGTACTTAAATGGATATCACAAAAATAATCTCTTTACAGGAAATGCTGGGACTCTCTAAAGTACCCATGACTCAAGCTACACGTGGTCCTCAGGTACAACAGCCACCTCCTTCCAATAGGTAATTATTAAATATGGCAAAGAGAATTTTACAATTTGTGCAGCTCTTTTAAGCATCCTATACCCTTAACTGGAACATAGACATTCAGTAATACTATATTGTTATATTTTTAGGAATATAAATACACAGCATTAGTACATCTTCTAAAAAGTTGAGGCAGAATCATGCCACTGAAATAGTTGGTTTCTTATTATTACAGTGTTAAGGACTTTTTTAGTTTTGATATATTCCTGATCTCCTGTTTTTAAGTTCATAAACTAGTTGAAGGCAGCCAAACAAAAGTAGGGCCTAAAAAACTTTTCATTTAGCCTTAGAGGTAGTTTCCCCCTCCCCAAACTTACTAATCAGAAGTAGTATTACTAAAATTGAGTTGACATATCTTCTCATAATTATTTCAGTAGCCCTAAGGCTGACTAACTGGTAAATGAAAGACGTAGTCCTGATATAATACTTGGTGTGAGTGTTTCACTTACAGTGGTTGTGCTAAAACTTTGGTTGTGGACCAGTAGATAGCATCACCTGGGGACTTGTTTGAGATGCACATTCTTGGGGCCTACCTCAGACCTGCAGAAACAAGACCCTGGAATCTGTTAAAATGAGTCCTCCCACCAATTCTTATGCACACAAAAGTTAGAGAATCATGGGTCTACCATGTATTCAAATTACTTTTTTCTATTTCTAAAAAAGGAAACAGTTTGTTTCTTACAGTCTTACCCATAAACATTTATAAATGACTTTTGATTTAATTTTGTTTTGCAGATTCTTGCAGCCAGTACAGAAAATAGACATGAATCTCACAGATCTTCTGGGAGAACTGCAGCGAGACCCTTGGCCTGTACCACAGGGGAAGAGACCTTTGCGTTCCTCTGGGGTGGCACTTTCCATAGCTGTAGGACTACTTGAGGTAGTGACAATAGCTTTGTTTTGGAATGTAAACGTGTATGTTTGTGTATCAGTGATATCTACAAGGCAATGTTGAGTGAAAAAATTAGGTCATTAAGACAGCAGATACTTAAAATTTGATCTGTGGTATATTTTTTTGTGTATAGAGATGCATCTGGAAGGGTGTTTGTTCATCCAAATGTTAACAGTGGTAGAATAAGGGGAATTTTGCTTTTAAGTAGAATTTGAAAATTTTACACTACACATACCTTAGCTTTATAATTAGAAAAGAGACTTTTAAAAAAAAGCTTTTTAAACAATGCGATGCTATCCAATTTACAGAAAAGTTGTAAAGAACAGTTTTCCCTCTGAACTATTTAAGTTGCTGACATGATGTTCCTAACCACTTGAATACTTTAGTTGTTTCCTATGAATCAGGATATTTTTGTATATAACTACAATATAATTATTAAAATCATAATATTAACACTGATACATTACTATCACCTAGCTTTCAGATCTCATTCAAGTTTTATAGATTATTTCAATAATTTCTTTTACTAAAAAGAATCTCATTAAAAATTTATTTTACTAAAAATACATTCAGAGACATGTATTTAGTGGTATGTCTATTTAGTCTCCTACAGTGTGGAACAGTCCCTCAACTTTTCTTTGACTTTCATGACTTTAATGCTTTGGAAGATTCAGGCCAGTTATTTTATAGACTCTCAAATTACTTTTGTTTTGATATGTCCTCACAATTAGATTCAGGTCTTATAGCAGCAGGACTATCATAGAAATAATGCTGTGTTCTCATTACACCCTGTCAGGTGGCACATGATTTTCATTTGCCCCATTCAAGGTGATATAATCACCATGATCACTTACTAAGATTGTGTCTGCCACATTTTTACACTGTAAAATTACTCTTATTTCCCCTCCTTTTGTAATCAACATTAGAAAATGAGAGTCTTTGAAACCAAGCAAATATCCCATTCTGCATAAAACTTTCAGTTTCTATAGTTATTTATTAATATCATTATGGAGTTTACATCTCCTTCTTTCTGTGTATAATTACTTTGTTCCACAGTTAATGGTATTTATATAATTATATTAGAAATACTTTGCAATATCCGTAAGCAGTTGTTGGACAAAAATACAGAGCACATTTTTCTAATTTTTTTTTTTCAACGTTTTTTTATTTATTTTTGGGACAGAGAGAGACGGAGCATGAACGGGAGAGGGGCAGAGAGAGAGGGAGACACAGAATCGGAAACAGGCTCCAGGCTCTGAGCCATCAGCCCAGAGCCTGACGCGGGGCTCGAACTCACGGACACGCGAGATCGTGACCTGGCTGAAGTCGGACGCTTAACCGACTGTGCCACCCAGGCGCCCCCAGAGCACATTTTTCAAGTTACATTATAGCTTCAGAAAAGAATGTAAATGATACAGCTTTTGCAATCCTGTCTGTTTTGAGTCCTCAAAATTTCTAGTCTACTGATAGCACTCTTATTTTTCATTTATGTAGTTATTTATTTTAAAAATTCTACCATTTTTCTCATTTCACTTTGGAAGAAGGAAAGGTAGATTGGAATACTCAGTCCATCATCTTAAACTAGAAAGATAAACCATGCATATGTTTTAAACATAAAAAAGAAAAATAGAACTACAGCAGCAAAACAGGAAGATGTCCCTTTTCTTACTTCTTCTCTACTCCTTCCAGTCTAGGACTGGTTAAGCAGGAGCAGCATCCTTATTTATAGGGATCAGGCTTATAGATTATTTAAAACAAATTTTTTTTAACATTTATTCATTTTTGAGAGACAGAGCATGAGCATGGAAGGGGCAGAGGAAAGGAGACACAGAACCCGAAGCAGGCTCCAGGCTCTGAGCTGTCAGTACAGAGCCTGACGTAGGGTTCAAACCCATGAACTGTACATCATGACCTGAGTCGAAGTCAGATGCTTAACCAATTGAGCCACCCAGGCACCCCATATGAATTATTTTAAAGCTAGGAAGGCACTATCATTTAAGATAAGATTTCAAAAGAAAGGTATTCAAATACCATGTGTTTAAATTTCTTTTTTTTTTTTTTTAATTTTTTTTTTTTTTTCCTCAACGTTTTTATTTATTTTTGGGACAGAGAGAGAGCATGAACGGGGGAGGGGCAGAGAGAGAGGGAGACACAGAATCGGAAACAGGCTCCAGGCTCCGAGCCATCAGCCCAGAGCCTGACGCCGGGCTCGAACTCACGGACCGCGAGATCGTGACCTGGCTGAAGTCAGACGCTTAACCGACTGTGCCACCCAGGCGCCCCTAAATTTCATTTTAAACATTTGATTATTCTTGGATAATTTATGCTTTCTTGTTTTCTAGAAAGAATATATCAGAATTCACTTTTAGAAATATATATCCTTGTATCTGCCTTTAAACTCTTTTGACAAGTTACTTTTTTCTGATAGTGTACTTTTCCCAACACTGGTGCTCGTATCATGATGTTCATTGGCGGTCCAGCCACTCAGGGGCCTGGAATGGTGGTTGGAGATGAATTGAAGACACCTATAAGATCATGGCATGACATTGAAAAAGACAATGCCAAATATGTTAAAAAGGGAACAAAGGTAATTTGGTTAAGTTTTTTGTTTTAATAGAAAAATTTCATTTGATGGAAGAGGAAGAATACGCATACTTTATAATAAGAAATCTGATATTGTGAAGTCTGATGCTGTAACTACTATTCAGAATTGGAGAAATAGTCTCTTTTTTTTTTTTTTTGATAGTTTAAGTTACAATTTTTCTGCTTGTAAATATTTAAAGACTTAATAGTAGCACCAGTAGGTAACTTTTTTTTTTTTTGTGGTTGTATTTTTTTCCCCAATAAGTGTCTCTTTAAAGATTACTCCTGAGAGAAACCCTGTGTGCCTTTTTTGATATTCATGTTAAAGAATATCTTTCCTGCTTTAGGAAAAATTTCTTGAATTTTCCAGTTTTTCATTTGTAAGAGGCTTCCTCTAGATATGTATTTTGTTCAGAGGGTGAATAGTCCATCATTGACTTATGAGTTGTTTTCTGTTCATGTAACTTTAATTTTATTTGAGTTTGTGCTAGTACATTTTCACTTTTGACTATTGACTCCCTTGAATTGGTTCTGCTGTTAGTGTTCCTTTTTAAAAAAAAAAATTCTCTGGAGTTTACAATTTTAGTTTAGTTGTACTATATTAACACTTCTTTTTGGTAGTCATAATATTTTTAAAAGTGTAAATAATAACATAATTTTTGTCACTATTACTGGATTTTTTTCCTGCCACCAGATTTCTCTTTTGAGGTTGGAAGTTTTCTTACAGCTTCAAAAAATGTTTTGTATTTGTTTATCTTACAGCTTTTGTTAGTGTTTTTCTGTATTTTGGTGTTTTTGTTATCTGGGTGTGGACTCAGCCAAGAAAAAGAGTTCTGTGTTCCTCTTCTACTATGTTTATGTATGAAGAGCAAGATATTTGTTATACCTTTTCTCCAAGTTTAGCTTAATTTAGGAGTTTATTAGAATGCCTTAAAAATGTGAAAGTGTCAGACTTATAGAAGTTATTGTATCACTTTATGAGGAGTTTTCTATTATAGAAAATTAGAACATAGCACACTTAAATTATTATGGGTTATAGTTTTAGTATTTTTTTAGGCCATTTTGATCTCTTTATGGGAAAAATGATTTATAGGATGGTTGAGTTTATACATTGATTTGATTTGATTTAAAAAATCTTTTGTAGCATTTTGAAGCATTGGCTAATCGAGCTGCTACGACTGGTCATGTTATTGATATCTATGCCTGTGCGTTAGATCAGACAGGTCTCCTGGAGATGAAATGCTGTCCCAACCTTACTGGGTATGTATTTAAATTTTTGTAGTTTTTAGGATTATAGGCTAATAATTAGTTTACAGAATATAGACCAATAATGACAGTTTAGGAAAAACAGCCATCATTCTACCACTCCAGGACAACTCTTAACAGTTTTTGATATTGCTTTCAGTAAAGCTCACTTTACATTTTTTTCTAAAATTCAGTTATAAACGCACAAGTTCTGTTTGAAAAGTTCATCTTGATGCCCTGCAGTCATTGTTTTATTATTGTAGAGCTTTTGAGCTATAATTCACACACCATAAAATTTACCCATTTAAAGCATACAATTGAATGTGGGTTTTTTTGATCTGTTCACAGGTTGAGGAACCATCACCAAATTTAGTTTTAGAACATTTACATTACCCCAAGAAGTAACTGTACCCATTAGCAGTCAATGCCCTTTGCGGTTTCCTTCTCCTTCTCTCTCAGCCTAGACCCCTAATCTACTTTCTGTCTATAGATTTACCTTCTCTGGATCTTAGGGAAAAACCATTTCATCTTTCACCATTAAGTATGATGTTTGCCGTGAGGTTTTTTTTTTTTAATTTTTTTTTTTAATGTTTATTTTTGAGAGCGAGAGCAAGTGAGAAAGACAGTGTGTGTCAGGGAGAGGCAGAGAGAAAGGGAGACACAGAATCCGAAGCAGGCTCCAGGCTCTGAGCTGTCAGCAGCTTGACACGGGGCCCGAACTCACGAATTGTGAGATCATTGACCTAAGCTGAAGTCGGACACTTAACTGACTGAGCCACTCAGGCTCCCTAGCTGTGGGTTTTTGTAGATGCCTTGATCAGGTTGAAGGATTTTCTATCCTTAGTTGAGGATTTTGTCATAAAAGGGTGTTAGGTTTGGTTAAATGCTTTTTCTACATCTATTGAGATGATCACATGGTTTTTGTCCTTTTTTATTAATATGTTGTATTACAGTGATTTTTATGTGTTAAACCAACCTTGTATTCCTGGGATGAATCTCATTTGTGAATAATACTTTTTATATATTGCTGGATTTGATTTGTTAATATTTTTTGAGGATTTTGCGTCTATCTTCTTAAGGGATCTTGATCTATAGTTGTTTTATTTTTCTTCTTGTGATGTCTTTGGTATTGGCATCAGGGTAATACCGGATTCATAAAACGAGTTGGGAAGTGTTCCTTCCTCTTGCATTGGTAAGCATTACTTCGGGGATAATTTAAATAGGCTTTAAAAAACTCAATTAGGGGAGCTCCTGGGTGGCTCAGTCGGTTAAGCATCCGACTTCGGCTCTGGTCGTGATCTCATGGTTCATGAGTTCGAGTTCCACATTGGGCTCTGTGCTGACAATGCAGAGGCTGCTTTGGGTCCTCTGTCTCCCTCTCTCTCTGCCCTGCTTACACTCTTTTTCTCTAAAAAATACAGGGGCGCCTGGGTGGCTCAGTCGGTTAAGCGTCCGACTTCAGCTCAGGTCACGATCTCACGGTCTGTGGGTTCGAGCCCCGCATCGGGCTCTGGGCTCATGGCTCAGAGCCTGGAGCCTGCTTCTGATTCTGTGTCTCCCTCTCTCTCTGCCCCTCCCCCGCTCATGCTCTGTCTCTCTCTGTTTCAAAAATAAATAAACGTTAAAAAAAAAAATACAAAGACATTAAAAAAACTTAATTATGTATGTCAATTCATTTCTCAGGTTTATTTATTTAATTTTATTCATCTAATAAATATTAATGAGCACTTACTATGTATCAAACTGTTCAGGGTATTGGATATACACAATGAACGAAACCTAAAAATTTACCCTCATGGAGCTTATCTTCCAGTGTAGGAGTGTTCAGTGTAATTTTCTATTGAACATGTTCTCTGTGTTGTCCCACTGAAATCTGGTGAGTGTGACTGAGGGACTGAATTTAAAATTTTAATTTTAATTGATTTACATGTAAGTTTTTGTATTTTCTAATTAAAAAAAATTTTTTTAACGTTTATTTATTTTTGAGAGACAGAGATAGAGTGTGAGCAGGGGAGGGATGGAGAGAGAGGATGGACACAGAATCCAAAGCAGGCTCCAGGCTCAGCTGTCAGCACAGAGCCCGATGCAAGGTTTGAATTCATGAACCACGAGATCATGACCTGAGCCAAAGTGGGATGTTTAACTGACTAAACCACACAGGTGCCCCATTTACATGTAAATTTAAATAGCCGCATGTTTGGATGCACAGTTCTAGTGAGAGGAGATGAGACAAGTAAAGTAGATAGGATGTCAGTAGGTAACAAGCGTTAAGGAGAATAATAACGCAGGAAATGAGGTTTGCAGTTTTAAAGGGGTGAGAAGGGAAGGCCTCATTGAAGATGAGGTTTTAGCAAAGACCTAAGGAAATGAGGTAGTGAGCCATATGCATAGATGAAGGAAGAGTGTTCAAACAGAATAGCAAGGGCAAAGTTGAGAACATGCATAGGGCGTTTGAAATATAGCAAAGAGGCCACAGTAGTGGAGTAGGGTGAGTGAGAGGGACAGATTGTGATGGTCTTTTGACTATGGTAAGGGCTTTGGATTTCACTTTTGTTTTTTTAATTTTTTTTTATGTTTATTTATTTTTGAGAGAGACAGAGACAGACCACAAGCGGGGAAGGGGCAGAGAGAGAGGGAGACACAGAATCCAAAGCAGGCTCCAGGCTCCAAGCTGTCAGCACAGAGCCTGACGCGGGGCTCTAACCCACGAACTGTGAGATCATGACCTGAGCCAAAGTTGGATGCTTAACTGACTGAGCCACCCAGGCGCCCCTGGATTTCACTTTGAGTAAGATCAGTAGAGGAGTGATATGATCTGTAATGCTGTAAAAAGGATCATCTGACTCCATTTACCTTCAGTGGTGAATAGGAATGCAGGAATACCGAGTGGTGGCTGAGAAGTGGTTGGGTTTTGGATATATTTAGAAGTAGAAGATTTGCTGATAGATTGGATCAGGGTTTGGGTAAAACTGAAAATCAAAGGAATTTACTGGAAGAATTGAATTGCCTTTTATTGAAATGAGTAAGACTGTGAAAAGAAGAGTATTTGGGGAGAAGATTAGGAGTTTAGTTCTGAACATGTTTGGTTTAAGATGCCAGTTGATATCCATGAGATGTTGAGTAGGCAGTTTGATATTATAACATAGAATACAGAAGATAGATCTGGGCTGGAGACATAAATGTGGGAGTTGTCAGAATATGGTGTGTGTGTGTGTTTTTTTTTTTAATGTTTATTTATTTTGAGAGAGAGAGAGTATGAGCAGGGGAGGGGCAGAGAGAGAGGGAGAGAATCTCTAGCCGGCTCTGCTCTGTCCGTGCAGAGTCAAACATGGGGCTTGATCCCATGAATCGTTAGACCGTGACCTGAGTGGAAATCAAGAGTTGGATGCTTACCCAGCTGATCCACCCAGGCACCCCACTGGTGTTTTTTTTAATAGCAGTAAAAATGGATGAGATTGTAAGATTTAGCAATCTAAGAGCAGTGCAAGTTGACTTAGAGTGAACTAGAAAAAGAACAGAGGGGTGCCTGGGTGGCTCAGTTAGGTGTCCGACTTTGGCTCAGGTCCTGATTTTGTGGTTTGTGAGTTCAAGCCCTGCGTCTGGCTCTGTGCTGACAGCTCAGAGCCTGGAGCCTGCTTCAGATTCTGTGTCTCCCCCTCTCTCTGCCCCTCCCATGTTCATGCTCTGTCTCTCTCTGTCTCTCAATAATAAATAAACATTAAAAAAAAAAAAAGAACAGAAAGAGAGGATTGGAAACAGCTGGTAGAGATTACAAGTTCTTAAACTTTCATGTGCAGATCATCTGGTTATCTTGTTAAAGTACAGATTCTGGATTGGCTGTGCATAGGATGGGACTTGAAATTCTCCTTTTCACGCAAGATCCTTGCTGATAATAATGTTGCTGGACCAAGGGCCACACCGAGTAGTGAGGTTATAGACAGTTATTTCATGGAGGTTTGTTGTGAAAAGGAAAAGATAAGTAGGGTGGTGTAAGTTGTCTTTAATGTAGGATGCATATCACCAGGTATAGTGATAACATAGATCATCATAGATGATGTTTATAAAAGTAGAAAATCTAAAAAAACCTATTTACTAACTGTTGGAATTAATATGTTAAGTTGTCAAGACTTCTAGATCAAGGTCGTTGTACAAAATTCAACTATATGGGGCGCCTGGGTGGCTCGGTCGGTTAAGCGTCCGACTTCGGCTCAGGTCATGATCTCACGGTCCGTGGGTTCGAGCCCCGCGTCGGGCTCTGTGCTGACAGCTCAGAGCCTGGAGCCTGTTTCAGATTCTGTGTCTCCCTCTCTCTGTGACCCTCCCCCGTTCATGCTCTGTCTCTCTCTGTCTCAAAAATAAATAAACGTTAAAAAAATAAAAAATAAAATGTTTAAAAAAAAAACAAAAACAAAACAAAACAAAACAAAAAAACAAAATTCAACTATATTTTTGTATACCAGTGACAAATATAGATAAAACAACATTTAAAAAGATATATAACATATAATAACATCAGAGATAACATAAATCCAGTATCAAAAATAAAATTACCATTAATTAATTATGCCATATCAGTTTTATTCTTTTGCCTACTTTAATTTTTATTGTATTGTTTGAAAGCTACTTAAAATATTTTAAAAATATGAGCAAATGTATGTAAATGTTTGTATGCATATGAGTTTATGGGTGTATCTATCCCCTTTTTGTAGAACAGGAGAAAATTCTACATATCCTTATCCACTTTGCATTTTCACTTATATTCTAGATAGTAGTCTGCGGCAGTATATTACCTCATTGTGTGGATGTACCATATTTTACCCAACTAGTCTCTAATAGATGGTCCTCCGGATTGTTTCCAACCTTTTATAACTAGTAATACTGAATACCCTTGTGCATATATTTGCTTTTTGTTTTTGTTGCCAGAATATTTTTGGGATAGACTCCTAATAGTGGGTTGGCTAGATTAAAGAGAAACCACAAGTGTAATTTTGTTAGATATTGGCAAATTCCCCTGTGTTGAGGTTGCATCATTTTGCATTCCCACCAGCAGTGTATGAGGGTAACTGTTTCTGCAGCCTCACCAACAGACTATGTCATCAGACTGTGATTTTTGCTGATCTATTAGAGAAAAAATGGTACCTCAGAACTGTTTTTATTTGATAGTTAATGTTTTTTAAAACTTAAAAAAATGAGAACAGGTACATGCTTACTGAAAAAATTTGTACAGTACATGTACCTAGTGCTTAAAGTGAAAATCGTTCCACAGCATCCTCCTATTCTTCTTTGCTAAGTTTCATGATCCTGTTATGTCTGATGTGATTGATACACACAGGCAGTATATGCATATATATACATATACAGGTATATATTTGTTTTCAAGAATGAGAATGTGTGCTGGAGAACTGGGTGGCTGGGATGGAAGAGACACATTTGCTACTGTGTACCATTTTGTATCTTTTGAGTTTTTGTAGTATGTGGATGTGTTATCTATTTATAAAAAATAATGTTAATAAATTACTGAGAACAAATGCAAGTGTTAGGGGCACTCAGATGCTCTCAGGATTGAGATTATTTGTAGGGTGAAGATATTCTCATATATTTGAGTTTTTAAAATTAATGGTAGTAGAGTACGTTTAGAAAGTATCTTTAAAATTTGTTGGTAGTATTGAGAGGTAATTTACTTTTCTGGTTTTAACACATAGGCCCAGTACTTGTGTCACATATATTATTTTTTGTTCTTTCTGTGCAGAGGATACATGGTAATGGGTGACTCTTTCAACACTTCCTTATTCAAGCAGACTTTTCAAAGAGTTTTTACCAAAGATATGCATGGACAGTTTAAAATGGGCTTTGGTGGTACATTAGAAATAAAGGTAAGCATCAAAACTTGACATGTGTGGTATGTTATTAAAAGAAATTTGTAGTCTTGACCATAATATTTAAATATCATTAATCAAATTCAATATAGACTTTAAAAGTAGAGATTTTGTTTACCAGAAAAATGTATCATCATTAAATGTACATGAAATTTTACTTGAGCATTTACAAATAATTATTGGAAAAGGAGATACTATATAGGTAAAATTTCCTTTAACTGCTTTTTCTTTATATAGGATTTAACTTTTTAAGTGTGTTTTTTCTTTTTAGTGCTGTATTTGCTTCTGTGAGTGCTAGATTTATTTTATTTTGGGAATCAGTGACTGAAGAGAAATCTATTCCATTTGGATAATCAGTAATTGTTTTTTGATTAGTAGGTTGTTGATATTATTTACTTCTTTTTTTTTTTTTTTTTTTTTTTTAGAGAAAGAGAGTGCATGCGCATGTGTGTACATGTGGGCAGGGGAGGGGCAGAGACAGAGACTCCTAAGCAGGTTCCATGCCCAGTACAGAGCCTGATGCAGGGCTCGATCCCACAACCGTGGAATCATGACCTGACCCTAAGTCAAGAGTCAGGTGCTCAACCAACTGAGCCACCCAGGTTCCCTGATACTGTTCACTTCAAATTTTGATTTAAAAAACCCAAAAGTTTAGTGTTATAAAAGCATATTACAAAATCATTGACTTTGAACTTCCATTAAATATTTCTTCATAATCTTTTTATTTTATTGAATGCTTGCTATGTGTATAGCATTAGGCAGGGAAATTATGAGGATCTCAAGGGATATATAAGGCACAGTGCTTCTTAAGAAGAAACTTAAGTCTTGTGGAACCTGGCTAGCTGTCAGTGGAGCATGTAACTCTTGATCTCAGGGTTGTGAGTTCAAGCCCCACATTGGGTGGGAAGCCTACTTTAAAAAAAAAGAAACTGGGGCACCTGGGTGGCTCGGTCGGTTAAGCATCCGACTTCGGCTCAGGTCATGATCTCGTGGTCTGTGAGTTTGAGCCCCACGTCGGGCTCTGTGCTGACCGCTCAGAGCCTGGAGCTTATTTCAGATTCTGTGTCTCCCCCTCTCTCTGCCCCTCCCCTGTTCATGCTCTGTCTCTCTCTGTCTCAAAAATAAATAAATGTTAAAAAAAAATTAAAAAAAAAAAGAAACTTAGTTTTGATAGATAAAATTAACATTTGTGATAGAATGAAATAACAGTAGATTATAAAAGTCCTATAAAGGTTTAGGGAAGAAAAATGAATGTATGCAGGACACAATTTATTCTTGGTGATAAATGGTTTTATAGTGAGTTACAGTGGTTTTGAAAGATGGCAGAATTTAAGTTCGTTGAGGAAAATACATTTTAGTAGGATCCCATGTGAGGAAAGGTAAAGAAGTGAGAATCAGCGTGGTATATTTGGGGAAACTTCAGTGAGAGTGGATGGTTTGTATTGCAGTGTAAGGGAGATAGTTTTAATTATGTGGTCAGTTGTATTTTGGTGATGCATGTGTAGCCAGAAGAAGCAATTGTAAATTAATAAAGAATAGTGTTTCAGGTAAAATTTGTCTGACAATGGTATTCAGTTTGTCAGGAAGAAGAATCTCGAGTAGGAAAAGTGAATTAGGTTTTCTAGTTTTCTTAGATGGAAACTAACAGTGGCTTAAATTTTGGTGTCAGAGATTGGAAAGAAACCAATCTTGGTGACAAATTTTCTACAAGAGGAAAAACAGAAGATAGTGTTTAAAGTTTAGAATTAGGATATATGAATTTTGGGTATGGTATTATCTTGAATTGAGGGTGAGATTACCAAATGGAGACCTCCTATGGGCAGCTGGAAATAGAGTATTGAAGTTAGGTCAGGGCTAGATTGTAAATTTGGGAGTTATAAACCTAGAAGTGTCCACTGATTTCATTATTGTTATTTTTTTAAGTGTATTTATTTATTTTGATAGAGAGAAAGAGCGAGTGTATGTACATGCACATGAGCAGAGGAGGGGCAGAGAGAGAGAGAGAGAGAGAGAGAAACCTAAGCAGGCTCTGCACCGTCAGTGCAGAGCCTGATGTGGGGCTTGATCCCACGAACCATGAGATCATGACCTGAGCCAAAATCAAGAGTCATGCACTCGACCAACTGAGCCACCAAGGCACCCCTGATTTATTATTATTATTTTTTTTTAATTTTTGTTTTTAACCTTTATTTTTGAGACAGAGAGAGACAGAGCATGAATGGGGGAGGGTCAGAGAGAGGGAGACACAGAATCTGAAACAGGTTCCAGGCTCTGAGCTGTCAGCACAGAGCCTGACGTGGAGCTCGAATTCACGGACTGCGAGATCACGACCTGAGCCGAAGTCGGACACTCAACCGACTGAGCCACCCAGGCGCCCCTATTATTTTTAACATTAGTTTGTTTTCATTAACCTCTGTGTTATAAATGTGGAAGGGTGTCTTTATTCTTTTTTTTTTTTTTTTTTTTTTTTTTTTAGCCAGAGAGAGTGTGAGCATGGGGAGAGGGGCAGAGGGAGGGAGGGAGAGAGAGAGAGAGAGAGAGATACTGAGAATCTTAAGTAGGCTCCATACTTAGTGTGGGTCCTGACATGGGGCTTGATCCCAGCCGCCCCAGATGTCTTTATTCTTATGTACTTATAGTTGAATGTATATTTGAACTTATCTTTGAGGACACTAAAGTGTTCACTGTATGCTTATTTTGCAGACCTCAAGGGAAATAAAGATTTCAGGAGCTATTGGACCCTGTGTGTCTCTCAATTCTAAAGGACCTTGTGTGTCTGAAAATGTAAGTCACCTTTAATTTACTCTAAAAAGAAAATCTAGTTAATTCGAAGGACAGACCAACAATAGACTTGGAATGACAGCCTATAGTAATCCTTTCAAAATTATTGTGTGGGCTAAGTTTTTCAGTAGAATGTGGTTCCATTTCCATTAGTATACATCTGTTTGTGGTTGCTCTTTATGCATACCCTTTTTACCATCTACCCCTAAATTAAAACCTTCGTGCTGTCACCAGTCTTTTGTTTTTTTATGCCTAAGTTATTCCTTCCCCCAGTGTGCCTAAAAAACCCAACAACTGTGATTTGGAAATTTGGAGACTTCTGAAAGTCAAATCTGAAATTTTTTTTGTTAGTAGGATTTCCAACAAAGTAACCAAATTAGCCAGATTTTAGTTTCAATTCCTTTCTTTTTGGTTACCCATCTAGTGGATGTATAGTATACTTTACAATGGTAGAATTATGTACCTGTAGAGAGGATGATGGAGCAAATAAGGTGAGTAATCATCTGTAAAGTGTCAGAGTTTAAAAATTAATTTTAAGCAGTTTGCATGGTAAAAATTCTTATCTAAGAAGTTTTTTTGGGAATCAGAGTGTTTGATTTATGGAATTTTGATCTAGAGAACCTGTATTCTATATATGCATATGTTATGTGTTAAGTCAATCTCTCTTTATATCAATGAAACAGTTGGATAGAAAGATAGTTGTAATTACTTCACTAAATAGTTTATACTGTTAAAGTCTACAATATTAAGAATGTGTATCAATATTTAGAAAGAATTTCAATTGTTTTATAATTTTGTTGTGTAAAAATTACTTGATTTTATTTCATGATAAGTTTATATGACTTTAAAAATCTTAGACTTTTAACATTCATTAAATTAGTTAGACACCTGAAATTTAGTTTTTCTTACTGGAGTTTTTTCTCCCCTTTTACCTTAATATATATTATAGTAATAAATTGGGAGCACCTGGCTGGCTCAGTCGGTGGAGCATGTGAATCTTGATCTTGTGGTTGTGAGTCTGAGCCCCACCTTGGGTATAGAGATCTCTTAAAAATAAAATCTTAAAAAATTGTGTTCTCTAGCTTTCAAACATACTATGTTTTTTTGTTTTTTTTTTTTTACAGGAGATAGGAACAGGTGGCACTTGTCAATGGAAGATATGTGGACTCAGTCCCACTACAACCTTAGCCATATATTTTGAGGTTGTCAATCAGGTATGACTTTTTATCTTGAAGTACTCAATTTAGGCCATAAATATTTCATATTTTTTCTAATAGTAATTATGACCTAGAGCTTATTCTGTTTTGGAATTTTTGTTTGTCATTTTCTGTTTTTCAAGACTAAACTCTTTGGTGAGAGGATAAACTATAATAGAAAGATGTTAGGGAAACCTGCAAATTCCCAGCTTTGGACAACCCAACTTTTAGTCTCAGTTTTCTTGTTGTTGTTGTTGTTGTTGTTTTAATATAAAATTGAAGACTAAATAAATCTTAAATTCTGTTCTAGCTATGCATTTTTGTAATTAGGCATCTAGCTCCTCCTGGTTGTCACAAGGTATATAATGATACATGAAATCTCTACAAGAAAGTTTAATATGTCAAAATTCATAAAAAAGGATTGGAAGGTAAAGATTCCAGTACTTGATAAGTTTTTTTTTTTCTGCTGCAGGAAGAAGCTATCATATTAAAGAACGATATAATGTACAAATTACTGACTTACATATTAATAGTTTTTAGGCATAAAATGAACCACAAAGTATTAATAGCCTTCCTAAGACATGTACAGGCATTTTTTTTCTTTAAGCGTCAAAATATGTGAAAGAGTTGTTCTTTCCAAGAAAAAAAAAAAATCAAAAAAGCAAGAATGCTAATTGTCAAAGGTCATGAAGAAAGTTTCTCTTATTGACCACTTGCTATTTCTTTCTGAGGACCATTATTATATACTACTGTTGGGCTTTTCTCATTAATAGTTTTCTGTTGGTCACCTCTTCATCAGGTGATTATTTTCCTAAAAGTTGTGTTTTCATTTTTCGTAACGAGGGGAGGAGAACTTGCTTCAATTTCTCTTTATCCAATTACTATTAGGCAAAATTGCCTTACTTATGCCTTTCTGTATCTCATCATTTCTTTATACTTCTCCCTTCATTTTGTTTCATGTCCCTCTGAATTGCATATTACTTGCAATTGATATCATAGCTGGAGTCATGTCTCTATCCTTCATCATTTTCCCCCTTTCCCAGGTCCATTTCTCTTATGTGGCAAATCATAGCTGTTTGGTATGCACTGGCAACAGGCATCCCTCTGGTCGATTTTAGAATGAATTTCATTAATGCTAGGGTAACTATATGATAAGACTGTAATTGATTTTGCTTAGTTTTTACTCTTATTTTTACATAGCATAATGCTCCAATTCCTCAAGGAGGGCGTGGTGCCATCCAGTTTGTGACTCAGTATCAGCATTCAAGTGGACAGAGACGCATCCGAGTGACCACCATTGCTAGGAAGTAAGTTGTATTTTTTAGAGATTTAATTTACGTATCAAAACTATCCTGGGTCATGCTTCCAAACTGGGTTACTGTTTTGAGTGACATTCATAATTATAAAATGAATATTTATGACTAATAGCATTTTATTTCTTTTTAATTTAGCTTATTTGCCAGAATATTCATTGTTAGGATCTGTAAAGCAATTTAAAAAACTACACCTAAGACATATTCTTCAAAATAATTCCTTTATTGGGGCACCTGGGTGGTTAAGCATCTGACTTTGGCTCAGGTCACGATCTCACAGTTTGTGGGTTAGAGCCCTGCGTTGGGCTCTGTACTGACAGCTTGGAGCCTGGAGCCTGCTTTGGATTCTGTGTCTCCCTCTCTCTCTACCCCTTGCCTGCTACACTCTGTCTCTCTCTGTCTCTGTCTCTGTCTCTCTCTCCAAAATAAATAAACATTAAAAAAAAATTTCCTGGGGCGCCTGGGTGGTGCAGTCGGTTAAGCGTCCAACTTCAGCCAGGTCACGATCTCGTGGTCCGTGAGTTCGAGCCCCACGTCAGGCTCTGGGCTGATGGCTCAGAGCCTGGAGCCTGTTTCCGATTCTGTGTCTCCCTCTCTCTCTGCCCCTACCCCATTCATGCTCTGTCTCTCTCTGTCCCAAAAAAAATAAATAAACGTTGAAAAAAAAAAATTTCCTTTATTTACCATATTTCTCTGAGAGGAGGAGAAATGCTAATAAACATCCTGTTATAGGCAATAATATAATGTATATACATACCTCATATAACACAATAATTAATAGCATTACTTTTCAATTGATGATAAAGTTCTTAGCTACTATTATCATTGTATGTTTTTTCAACTCTTATTATAATGTCATTTAATTCATTTACCAAATCTTCATTCAGTGTCTTCTTTGTGGCATAGGTAATTTTGGGGCAGGGTATGGAATGCAAAGGACTTGAACATACTTGGTCTGCTATATGATATGGAAGAGTCCAGTCCTCAACCTCTCTGTTAGTGAGGGGACAGTGTTTTTTTCCTTCCAATTTTTTGGAGACTGATACTTGTAAATACACTAAAAATGCATTACTAGAAAATGAAATTTAAAAAATTCACAATGCAGGTCCCTGTTTTTATTATTAGACTTATTAGACAAAAAATTATTTTGTTAAATTGCTTAAAAATTAGTAAACATATAGTCTCAGTTTCTGTTCTTACCACATGGTGAACTGATACTAGGTTTGTATACCACACTTTGAGTAGCACTGGTTGAGACCACAAAAGGTGAAGTCTCTTACCAGTTAATATTATAGGGTAGTATTTTGTGTAACAAAGCCATGTCCTACATTTATTAATGTAGTTAAGTTTCCAAAAAGAAGTGATTAGGCATGACAGATGCCTTTTCTTGTTCGGATCTATATGATGTATTCTCTGAATAAGACATATATTTGGTGACGTGTTCTTGCACAGCATTTGCACAGAGAACAGGTTGAACTGAACCTATAGCCCCTCTGTTTTCTTAGAAATAAATTATTTCTCAGCTCCTTTGATAACCCCTCTGTATATATTTGTGACATGTAAAACAAAGGGAAGATCATTTTGGAATAAAATTAGGAAAGGATTCTTAGATGAGGTGTGTCTAGAGGCAAACCAGTTTTTGGTCTATTTCTGTTTGTCTTGAACTTGATTGTCTGGGTAGGGAAAGTGTTGATCAGTATAAACTTACCTGATTTAAGCATGGGCTAGAATATGAACACAGAGACATCTGAAGCTCTCATTTTATTGAACTGTATTTATACTCTGGCTTCATTCCTGAAAATCATGAGATTGTTTTGGTGAGTGATGGACATTAGCTTTATGTTTGAACTGAGTATTGGTTGTATGGTCTGTTACTTATCACAGGATTATACGTAGATTTATTTATTGTCCTCCTCTGTTACCTTGCTTTGACTTAAAATCCTGCATCAGTGTCAGGGGAATATATTATTCATTTGAGCTAAATATCCCAGCTGACTAAGCATTCACTTAGATTTGTTAATACTTCATATCAGGAACTTGGAAGTTTGATTCTTGGCAAACATGTCAATTTATTTATGCCCCTCAACACACACACACAGACACACACACCCACATGCACACACACGTGCAACTTAAATTGGACATTCAGAACATTTACTTAAGGAAACAACTGGACATACCAAGTTGAGGGATATTTTACAAAGTTACTGGCTTAGAATTGTCAAAAATGTCTTGGAAGGCAAGAAAAGCTTTAGTAACCAGTCCAGATTAAAGGAGACTAAAGAGATGTTACAACTAAAGCCAATATGTGATTCTGGATAAAATCCTGTGTCAGGAAAATATTTGCTATAGAGGATGCCATTGAGACAATTGGAGACATTTGAATATGGTTTATGTATAGGATGATAATATTAAATCCATGTGTAATTTCATGAATTGATAATTAAGGCTATATAAGACTATAAGATACTCTTGTTCTTAAGAGATATATTAAGGGTGGGCAGAGGAGTTCCTGGGTGGCTCAGTTGGTTGAACATCTCTGACTCTTGATTTTGGCTCAGGTCATGATCCTAGGGTCATGGGATCCATGACTGATCCACACTGAGTGTAGAGGCTGCTTAAGATTCTTTCTCCTTCTCTGCCTCTCTCTTCTACTCGTGCTCTCGCTCTCTTTCTGGAAAAAAAAAAAAGGCAAAAGATATGAATAGACATTTTTCCAAAGAAGACATGCTGATGGCCAATAGAGACATGAAAAGATGCTCAACATCATTCATTATCAGGAAATACAAATCAAAACTATAATGAGATATCACTTTACACCTATCAGATGGCTAAAATTAACACAGGAAACAACAGATGTTGGTGAGGATGTGAAGAAAGGGGAACCCTCTTACACTGTTTGTGGAAGTGCAAACTGGTGCAGACCCTGTGGAAAACAGTATGGAGGTTCCTCAAAAAGTTAAAAATAGAACTACCCTACAGTTGAGAAATTGCTCTATGAGGTATTTACCATGAGGATACAAAAATACTGATTCGAAGGGACACATGCACCCTGATGTTTCTTTCCATAATTTGACTATTGTAGATAGTCTACAATAGTCAAATTATGGAAAGAACCCAAATGTCTATTGACTGACAAATGGATACAGATGTGGTGTGTATACATACAGTGGAATATTAGCCATCAAAAAGAATGAAATCTTTCCATTTGCAACAACATGGATGGAGTTAGAATGTATTATGCTAAGTGAAATAAATCAGAGAAAGACAAATACCATATGATTTCACTCATGTGAATTTAAGGAACAAAACAGATGCACATAGAGGGGGGGAAAAAGAAAGACAAATCATAAAACAGACTCTTAACTATAGAGAACAAACTGAGGGTTGGTGGAAGGGAGATGGGTGGGGGATGGGCTAAGTGGGTGATAGGCATTAAGGCAGGCACTTGTTGAGATAAGCACTGGGTGTTACATGTAAGTGATGAATCACTAAATCCTACTCCTGAAACTAATATGACACTATATGTTAACTAACTGGAATTTAAATAAAAACGTGAAACAAACAAGAATAGGTAGTCTTTTAAGAGAAAGGGAGTTTCTTGGAGAAATTTCATGGGTTTATATATTTTTAAGTTTTTATTTTATTATTAATTTTGAGAAGAGACAGAGACAGCATGAGTGGGGGAGGTCAGAGAGAGGGAGAGAGAGAATCCTAAGCAGGCTCTGCGCTGGTAGCACAGAGCCCGGTGTAGGGCCTGAATCCATGAAACTGCGAGATCATGACCTGAGCTGAAACCAAGAGTCGTACACTTAACCACTGAGCCATCCAGGTGCCCCTATATATTTTCAGTTTGCACAGAATTTATGAGGCCATTGTAGAGCTATATATCATGTATGTTTTGGTGCTATTTATGTCATTATGTCTTACCCGAACACCCATCTTTTCAAATTAACTTATCCTATTTTCAATAATCAGCACTTATTTTTTCTTTATTTATTAGTAATATGATTTTAGGGGCCTAGGCGAGTGTACTTGTTTAAGTGAGCCATGTGAAAGTAAAGAACTCAGGTTCCTGAGATACAGTCAAAAGTTACCCTATTTTTCATATAGAAAACAACTTTGACCTGGAAAGTTTGGTTTAAAACTACTTGTAAGAATTACAGTGAGGAGGGGATATTGGAAATAAGATAGATTTTACAATGTGAACAAACTCTTTAAACTTTAAGAGCATAATTTTTAATTTATAGCTAAATAAGATTTAATTCATGAATTTGCATGCGCTTACTTGTCAATGTAGTTAAAATGTCACCTTTATGTTTCAGATTGCAGCAAGAGAATATCATGGTCATCTTAGTTGGGAAAATGCTGATTTAGATAATTTTGGTTTTAGTTCTTTAAATTAAAATTTTTTATTTTTTTGGGGCGCCTGGGTGGCGCAGTCGGTTAAGCGTCCGACTTCAGCCAGGTCACGATCTCGCGGTCCGTGAGTTCGAGCCCCACGTCAGGGTCTGGGCTGATGGCTCAGAGCCTGGAGCCTGTTTCCGATTCTGTGTCTCCCTCTCTCTCTGCCCCTCCCCCATTCATGCTCTGTCTCTCTCTGTCCCAAAAATAAATAAATGTTGAAAAAAAAAATTTTAAATTTTTTAATTTTTTAAATTAAAATTTAAAATTTAAAAAATTTTTTAAAATAAAATTTTTTAAAATTAATTTTTTAAATTAAAATTAAAGTTTTTTATTTATTTTTTTTATTTTTTATTTATTTTTAAAAAAAAATTTTTTTTTTTCAACGTTATTTATTTTTGGGACAGAGAGAGACAGAGCATGAACGGGGGAGGGGCAGAGAGAGGGAGACACAGAATCAGAAACAGGCTCCAGGCTCTGAGCCATCAGCCCAGAGCCCGACGCGGGGCTCAAACTCACAGACGGTGAGATCGTGACCTGGCTGAAGTCGGACGCTTAACCGACTGCGCCACCCAGGCGCCCCAAATTAAAGTTTTTTAAATTAAAATTAAAAAAATAGTGTAAACCATTAGTATAACCACCAAGTTTAAATTACTTTAAAAAATAATTTCAAAATTGCTGGTTCTTATTCTTTTACTGATTCTCATTCTTTTTTGCCTCTTGCTATTTCTCTAGACTGAGATACTTAACAGTTATCTGGAAAATATTAAAAAATTATTTGTCTACTTGAAAAAAATTAAAAATAGAGAGAAAAGGAAGAATTTTGAATATGTTACTGCCTAAATCTTGGGGGATGACTTCTTGCATCTTTGAGTCATGCAAAAGTGGTCTAGCTTTTCAAAAATCTTTAAATTTTTTTAGACTTGCTTAAAGTGAGGTACTTTGGAATTAGAATCAGCTGAAGTATTACAAAACTCTGTGAAACATTAGACAAAAACTGTTGCTGGGTCTCCCCAGGGTGAGTTTGACTGGATTGGACTTATAGAACATGTGAATTTAATAGATTACTGCTATTTTATGTGTAATAGCAAATTAATCCCTTAGACTAAAATTTTTACTAACATTTAGCATGGAGGGAAAAGAATACATAGAAACTATAATTGTATCATTTTTTCCATTAATTGAATTAAATACCAATGAGAAAATAATTTTTGATAATTTTTAGTTTACAGTTTAGTAAATGAGTTACTTATTTTTGTTATATTTCCATGTTTCTGCCTTTAAAAAATTGAATAAATAAATTTTCTTTTTTTTTCCTTTTTTAAAATTTATTTTATTTTTTTATTTTTAAATTTTTTTACATTTATTTATTTTTGAGAGACAGAGCACAAGTGGGGAGGGGCAGAGAGAGAAGGAGATAGAATCTGAAGCAGGCTTCAGGCTCCGAGCGGTCAGCACAGAGCTTGATGCAGGGCTCGAACTCACAAACCATGAGATCATGACCTGAGCCGAAGTTGGGCGCTCAGTCAACTGAGCCACTCAGGCTCCCCCTCTTTTTTTTTTTTTTTTTTAAATAAGATAGAGAAAGCAAGTGGGAGAGGGGCAGAGAGAGAGGGAGAGAGAGAGAGAGAGAATCCCAAATGGTCTCTGTACTGCCAGTGCAGAGCCCAATGCAGGCCTTAAACCCACAAACCAGGAGATCATGACCCGAGCCAAAGTCGGAGGCTTAACTTATTGAGCCACCCAGATGCCCTTGAAGAAATACAATTTAAAGTCTGATATAGAGACTTGTGTATCTATGTGCACATGTGCACATTCACACACATACCTGTGCTATTTTCTTAGTTGTAAAAATCTTAATGTCTTAAGGAGTGTGTTTGGAGATTTGTCTTTATAATTACTTTAGAGGACTTGGGGTGCCTGGGTGACTACATCAATTGGGCATCCCTTCGGCTCAGGTCATGATCTCGCAGTCTGTGAGTTCGAGCCCCATGTCGGGCTCTGCACTGACAGCTCAGAGCCTGGAGCCTACTTCAGATTCTGTCTCCCTCTCTTTCTACCTCTCCTCCACTCACACTCTGTTTCTCTCTCTCAAAAATAAAATAAAAACATAAATAATTACTTTAGAGGACTTTATTAGGTTTGGATATATTTTTCTGAAAAATAATGCTATACTGAAACTGCTGTTAGTGATTTTTAAAATGTTAATTTTCCAGATGATGTTGGAATTTTGAAATATTGGAGTAATTTTCTGCATCATTTTACTTTAAATCTGTGTCATAGTCAACTATGATATTGTGAATATAATAATACAGCGCATTTCTATGCTTTCTTCTTGGCTTTAGCTGGGCGGATGCTCAAACTCAAATCCAAAACATTGCTGCATCTTTTGACCAGGAGGCAGCTGCCATTCTTATGGCCCGGCTGGCAATCTACAGAGCGGAAACAGAGGAAGGACCAGATGTACTTAGATGGCTAGACAGACAGCTCATTCGACTGGTAAGATGGAAACATGGTGCTTTATTCAATCTGTATGTTTTTGTTTGTCATAAGTATTTGTTGCTGATAATCTCTTTCAACATACTTAACACTTTAACTGCAAGACTGTATGAGGGATACCTATTCAACTTGCTGAGAAAGGCAGCTTGAATGAATTGTAAGTACCTTTATGTCTCCAACTGAGCTAAAATACCTTTTTCTTTAAAATGAAAGAGTGACAATTATGTAACCTATTCTTTTTCTTTTTTTTTTTTTTTTGGTGGGGGGTGCTGGTATCACATATTTGTTCCAAATTTGATCTTAAATTATTGTGACTGTTTTTTAGTGCTTATTTGCATATTTTTTCTTCATTGCTATGGTTTTAGTTTTCTGTGTTTATTTAAGAGAAGTTAATTGGGATATAAAAATTATACACTTTAACATAGAAAAATATGGGTAAGTTTTGATTATCTGGATCTATGTTACTAAAGTATGTGTTAGTAAAGTTACTGATAATGATGGTATATTTGGGTTTTTGACACGGCAGGAACCCATTATTTACAGTATGACCTAGAATGCTTAATTAAGTTCTGGTTTTTTTTTTAAGTTTTTTAAAAAAAATATTTAATTTTGAAAGAGAAAGCATAAGCAGGGGAGGGGCAGACAGAGAGGGGTACACAGGATCTGTAGCGGGCTCTGTGCTGACAGCAGCGAGCCCAACATAGGGCTTGAGCTCACAGACCATGAGATTATGACTGAAGGTGGACGTGCAACTGACTGAACCATCCAGGTGCCCCAATTAAGTTGTATTCTTTTTTTTTTTTTTTTTGAGACAGAGAGGGATAGAGAGCAAGCAGGGGAAGCGCAGAGAGAGAGGGTGAGAGAATCCCAAGCAGGCTCTGTGCTGTCAGCACAAAGCCTAATGTGAGCCTTGATCCCATGAACCATGAGATCATGACCTGAGCTGAGATCAACAGTCAGATGCTTAACTGCCTGAGCCACCTAGGCACCCCAATTAAGTTCTGTTCTTAATACCCCATTTTTACTCAGCAAACTCTGGCCTATTATTTTAGTCAAACACGCTGTTGGGAACTCTCTCTGCTAAGCTATCAGATTTCTTTTTTTTTTTTTTTTTAACATTTATTATTGAGAGACAGAGAGAGACAAAGCATGAGCAGGGGAGGGGCAGAGAGAGAGGGAGACCCAGAATCTGAAGCAGGTTCCAGGCTCTGAGCTGTCAGCACAGAGCCTGATGCAGGGCTCGAACTCACAAACCGCAAGATCATGACCTGAGCCGAAGTTGGACGCTTAACTGACTGAGCCACCCAGGCGCCCCTAAGCTATCAGATTTCTGTTTCTAGCAGGAGTTTTTTGTGCTCTTTGTTTAGATTTTTGTGTAGTTTTTAACACATTATTGAGTGAATTAGTCTTTGTTTAATAAGATCAGAGGGGCGCCTGGGTGGCTCAGTCAGTTAAGCGTCTGACTTTGGCTCAGGTCATGATCTCGTGGTCCATGAGTTCAAGTCCCGCATCAGGTTCTGTGCTGACAGCTTGGAGCCTAGAGTCTGCTTCAGATTCTGTCTCCCTCTCGCTCTGCCCCCTCCGCTTCTTGTGCTCTGTCTGTCTCTCTCTCTCTCTCTCTCTCTCAAAAATAAAAAAAATTAAAAAAATAAAATAAAATTTGTCGTTAAGTAGCATCATCCAGAACTTTTTTTTTCATTTTAACTTCAAGAGTGTTTTTATACTAGCACCTCTCTGTGAAGAAAACAGTGTTACAACATCAGCATGTCTTTTTAAAAGAGGTAAAACCTCTCAGAGTCAACCATCAATTGGACACCATCAGTACAAATACCAACACAGTTCCTCTAAGATGAACCATTGTTTCTAGATAGGAAGATAAAATATTAAATATATTTTGACTTTTGCTAGTTTAGGACAGCAGAAACATTTTCTTGAATTTCACTATCATTTATTTATTTATTTATTTATTTTTTCACTGTTTTATTTTATTTTTGGGACAGAGAGAGACAGAGCATGAACGGGGGAGGGGCAGAGAGAGAGGGAGACACAGAATCGGAAACAG